AAGAACCAATTCCTGTTATGTCAAGTTTTATTTCACCATATGAGGTTCGTCCCATTGCAAAAGCTTTGCCGCGCAAAGGGAACGTTTCTAATGGGCGCAAAAAGGAAGGTCTCGCATTCTTACCGACACCCCAGAATTTAATAAAATAAAAGAAAGTAAGAAAGACAGTATGGAAAAGAAGCGCAAAAAGTAACTGCAAAAAACAAAAAAAGTAAAACGTAAGTTAAATATTGAAGAAACGTCTTCAGAAGAAGATCAAATTGATTTTGAGATTAGAAGTGACAGCAGTAATTGTAATGATAATTCTTTGTCAGATTTAGAAATTGATTCCATTCAATTTACTCCAGATGATCTTCAGAAAGGTGATTTTAATCAGAAAAGGTGATCAGAATTCCAAATAAAATATTTAAAGAAAGCTCATTCCTTTGCACATGGCTGTACATTTACGGTTGAAGATGAAAAGGAATATACAACTAACATCAGCGATGTTATACAAAACTTCCTTAACCACGTACAGCAGGTTCATCCTCTCGACAATCAAACACATTTATCTTTCCAATATCTTTTGATAAAATTAATTTAGGGTAGTCTGTGTATTATTAGCAGTTTATATTTTCAATAAAATTTTCACGAATATTAGGAAGTATTTTTGTCTGACTCATTAAATTCTGGTTGTACAGGTACTTCAACTCGTGTCCCTAGATACAACTCGTCGTGTAAGTAGGTACAGCAGACCGGTTGTTCCTAGGGACACGTCTTCTTCTTCACGTGCCATCTCCTCTAAGAAGGTTGGCAACCATCATGGCAATTCGCACTTTCGACGCCGCTGCTCTAAAGAGGTCAGCAGAAGTGCAGTTAAACCAAGCTCTCAAATTATTCAACCAGGAGATGCGTCTTCTTCCGCGACTCCTTCTACCCTGTATTCTTCCTTGCATTATTAATTGCAACAAGTTATAACGCTCGCCCCTCATAACATGTCCCAGATATTGCAGTTTTCTGACTTTAACTGTATTTAAGACCTCTTTATCTTTACCCATTCTTCTCAACACCTCGACATTCGCGACTCTATCTACCCAACTTATTCTTAATATCCTTCTGTAGGCCCATAACTCGAAGGCTTCCAATTTGTCCGAAACATCTTTCTTTAAAGTCCAAGCCTCCAACCCATAAAATAATACGGAGAACACGTAGCATCTCAGAAGTCTTATCTTTAAAGAAATTGAAATGTCCCTGCTGCAGAGTACTTTTTTCAGTTTGTTTAAAGAATTTCTTGCCTGTCCTATTCTTGCCTTAATCTCTTCTGTGTACTCATTATTTTCATTAATTATTGTACCCAGATATTTGTATTTAACTTTTTTAACTTTTTTAATTTGTTCTCCATGTAGGGACACGCACATACATAAAAAAAGTGATAAAATGAGTAGAAATATATACCGTAGAATGGGGTGACTTTGATTCTATAAGGTGACTTTGATAAAACATGAATATTTTGTTTCAAGAGAGTATACAACCCAAATGTTTCGTCCGTTATGGTGGTTGTCTGAACTTTATTTCAGTGCACATGTTGATTATAGCAAAAGGTGTTTGTGGCCAATATCAAAAGTATACGGTTGTAAATTCACCATTGAAGTTTTTGTTTGAATTTGAAGATTTTATATTGTGTTCCTAAATTTAAACATACAGTTCTTACAATAGAATTGCAGGTTATTTTGTGTATGTTGCCTTAATGTAGGTCTAGTTGTCACTATTTTAAAATATTTAACCTAACTTATTTCCGTAACTACTCCATGAAATTGAATGATTTCTTATCCGGGGTCACTTTGATACATTTTTCGGGGTGACTTTGATACTTTATTTTTTTTTATAGTTTGCTTAATGAAACTTCAAACCGTTAATTATTTTCAGGATTTCGTCATTATCTGCATGAAAAGAAAAAATGCCGCGAGTTTATAAACGAAAGTTGGGATCAAGAAGCTACAAGAACTTCTCTGACGAAACTCTTGAACATGCTCTGCTTCAAATAGTAAACGGAAACTTGTCTGTTAAAGCCGCTTCAGAAAGATTTAAAATTCCGTATGGTACTTTATATAATAAATACAAAGGGAAGCATGTGAAGAAGCCAGGGGGCCAAACTGCGTTGACGGAGCTGGAGGAAAAATCAATCGTGTCCTGCATTGTCAAATGTAGAATTATCTCTAAATTTAAAAACGGGGTAAGTCCTGGTAACGACTGGGTAAAACTTTTTTTAGAGAGACATAGTCAGCAAATCTCTGAACGACTTGCGTCTAACATTACTAGAGCTCGGGCAGGTGTCACAAAAGAAACGATAGAATCATATTTCAATAATTTAAGAACAACTCTCTCAAATTGCCCTCCATCACACGTTTTCAATTACGATGAAACCAACGTTAGTGATGATCCGGGGAAAAGAAGATTGCTTTATAGAAGAGGGACCAAATATCCAGAACAAATCACTAATCATAGTAAAGCCGCCACATCAATAATGATGTGCGGTGCTGCTGATGGTACACTACTCCCTCCTTATATAATATATCGCAGCGAACATATGTGGGATGCATGGACATTAGGAGGTCCACAGGGCTCTCCTTGTTGTAGTAGTGGATGTTGCGCAAGAGGAGCTAGATATAACCGAACAAAAAATGGGTGGATGGAGGTAACTTGTTTTACAGACTGGTTTGAGACCATATTATTACCCCACGCAAGACGGCTGGAAGGTAAAAAAGTTATGATCGGCGACAACTTGGCGTCTCACTTTTCAGATCATGTTTTAGAATTGTGTGAATTGCACAATATTGAATTTGCGTGCCTTCCCAGTAATTCAACACACATATGCCAGCCTTACGGAATTTAAATTGCGACACCCAAAAATTACTGGTGTACCTAAAGATCAATTTCCGTCGTTATTAAAAAAATGCTTGACATTAATGGATCAGACAATTGCACAAACTGAGTACAAATGTGGAGATTGTGAAAAAAGTGCGATTAAGAGAGTTTTGAAGAATGGGTTCGAGGCTTGTGGCATGGTCCCTTTCGATCCAAATAAAGTCTTGAGTAAGATTACACCAATCAACCATGATGTTGATTATGTAGAACCTCTGATTAACGACAGCCTCACAGACTATCTGATGAATAAGAAGTCCGAGATAGAAGTTACTAAACGGCAAAGTAAAAAGAAACTTCATATCCAACCTGGTAAAAGTGTAAGTCGACATATAACGGCAGATGACAGCTCCTCCGATAGCGAGTTAAACAGCTATAATAGTGAAAGCGAAAATGAAATTGAAAATGAAGATTCTGTGGAGGACCAATCATATGAAGATGAGATGAATACAAAACCCTCCCTTGCTGAATTGAATGTTGGAACTTACGTGCTTGTAAAAATTATGTCAGGTAAACAAAAATGTAAAAATTACGTATATGCCGGAAGGATACAAGAGAAATTACCTTTTGACGAATACGAACTCATTGGACTTAAATCACTGGATGAGACCCATAAACATTTTAAAGTTGTGGAGACCGACGTTTTTAACGCTCCTTTCGATGATATCTTAGCAATTCTGAAGACCCCATCGGTTGAAACAAATGAAACAGCAACTACATGTACATTTCCTGACAGAGTTGATGTTAAAGAAAAATAACTTTGATTTTGTTTCCGTTCAAAATACATTCTTTTGGCTTTTTTTACTATTTTATACTGTTTTACTAATTTGCTAAAATGTTTTTTACCTGAATAAAGTATTAGCTACCTGTAAAATTATTTATTATATACTAATTATTGTGCCTATAGCAGCTGTCAAAGTCACCCCAAAAATTAAAATTGAAATATCTAAAAATTGGCTTGATCGATTTAAAAATGGGTTGACATTGACACCATTACAGCTTTTATGCATTGTCCAAGCTATTTTAAAATAGGGTATCAAAGTGACCCCACATCAATGGGTGATTTTGATATACCATTACTTATTTTTTTTTGAGAAAATCCTCAATTTAAAGATATATATATATATATATATATATATATATATATATATATATACTAACAGTATAAATTACATAAACATAAGATGAATCCCAATGGACATTTTTCCACATTTTTGGGATCACCCATTCAAAAGTTACGTAAGAAAATATAAAAAAAATTAACAAAGTCACCCCGTTCTACGGTAAGTTGGAAAATTGGTATTTTCGAATTAGCTTTATAAAGATATGATCAACTGTCCAGATTTTATTATTTTTTAACATTTTTATTTGTCTAATTTATAAAAATTGAATTATAAAAATTGTCCCTAGGTTCAACATATTCCCCTACCTAAACAAATAAATTTAACAATAAAAAGGTAACACTAACATATCAAATTTACAATTAGTGGTAAAATGTAATACTTAATTATAGAAATCTAATAATTTGTATTCAATTAAGATTTAACTATCTAAATAAAATTATTTATTTAATTTAATGAATTAGACCGAATAATATATAAATGCGTTAATGCTAATCCATCTAAATGTTATTGTATTTAGCCAATATATGGGCACTGTACAATCTGTCCATTGCCTCAGTAAACATCTGCTTAGTTAGTGAATCAACACCCTATACATGTTTGTAGATACGTATACGGACTCCGGTCAGGCTAATTAAACCAAGTCTAACATAAACAATTACCACAAACAGTATAAATCTCTGAAATTTCAGAGAACGAGTTAATAAATGCGTTCCATTGGTTAACCTCACTCAAAGACAAGTAGCAATAGGACTTTACTCAACTTAATTCTTGACTATTGACACCAATTTGAAGCTTTTACACCATAAAATCTACTGTACAAAGCTCATTAGAGCTGGCAGCCTCTCCGTCTACACTTGTAGACTCCATGATGGATGTTCTACAACTTTTATTGGCCGAACTAGCGTTGCCACGCCTATCCGCCCGCCCATTCGTTGTGCGGAGTTGGTGCCAACTTCAGTCAGTTGAAAACGCGCGATGGATTCGGACCGTTGTGAAGATACGTCAAGTATTCTTGGCTACGGGCTGGACGTTAAACCCTTAAGGATGGTGGCAAGTCCGCATACCGGACCTCGGCACACGATTGATAATATCCTAGGACTTGTCAGGAAGGACGATGGTGAAGTGCTGGAGAGGTCACAAACTCCAGGAAACGGTGAAAGTGCTGGTAAGTTACCGACGCAAATGTTTTGAGTGGTACACGTGCTTTCAATCCAAAGTTTATGCAAATTTCCTTAGGTACACTATAAATGTTCTGATGAATTAGAAAGATATTCAGCAACAACAAAAATCTGGTTTCTATATATAAGCTATAAATAATATTTTATTCAATGTTACCTATATGTTATATTAAATATATTCACACGCATATACATTTTTTCTTAAAAATAGCAATGAATTACACTTTCATAAATCTTCCAGTTAGATAGTTATTTTAAACATGGTGGATAATATCTAACAATAACACACAATTATTAGATATCTGTATCCAACATTTAATTTAGAAGAAAACATGTAAAAAAAATTGTTTATAAACAAACAAATATAAAAACAAAAAGTTTCATTTAAATATTGACAGGTGACTTCAGTTTCCATTAAATATTTTAAATTTTTATTACCTAATTTTGAAGTTTCAAATTATTAAACCGTCCACTTTATTTCCATTCATTTTCTACTACCTAATCATACTTATTTGTTGTTATCTTAAGCTTACTTTCATGTTTTTATAATGATCAGTGTTCCGTTTTGTATGTCCACATAGATTAACCCTTGGTGTGATATAGGTAGTTTTATAAAAGTTTCCTAGTTTTTTTCATTTAGATTTCAATGTTTTAGATACGTTTCGTCTCTTAATGTTGTATGTATATATTTTACTGTTTAGATTCCGAGAAATCTTAATCATATTTAAGTTGTAAACTTTGACTTTGATTTTGATATTGACAGTATTTTAAATCAATCTAATAATTAGATGGACTTTTTATCATTTTACCATTTTTTGTTGACTTTTGTCACACATAGATTAACGTCCTCGGTGCAAAAGGTAATAAGTTAAAATTCCTTGTTTTGAGGAAACGAAAAGAACGCTTTTTTGGGTTTTTTTCGAACAATTTTTTTTATATTTCCGGATCTTTCTTCGCGTGCCATATCAGAATTATCCGACGTTGGCGATCACCATTGCGAAGGCTTCTCGATCTTCTGCAATATGGAATAATTGTCCTGCATTTGGTATCTGAGTCCATTCACGAATGTTTTTTAACCAAGAAACTTGTTTTCTTCCTACACCTCTACGGCCCTCTATTTTGCCTTTAAGGATCAGTTGTAATATTTTATATCGACTTCCCCTTACTATATGTCCCAGATAAGACATTTTTCGATGTTTAACAGTCTTTAGCAGTTCTCTATCTTTGTTGACGCTCCTTAGTACTTCTTCATTAGTTTTCCTTGCTGTCCAAGGTATCTTCAGCATTCGTCTATGAACCCACATTTCCAATGCTTCAATTTTGTTCATGATCGATACTTTTAGCGTCCACACTTCTGCACTATACAAAAGTACGGACCAAACATAGCACTTAACCATTCTTTGCCTTAGTTCTAAACTGAGATGGTTATTGCAAAGAAATGACTTCATTTTATAAAAGTAGTTTTAGTCATTGCTATTCTACGTTTTATTTCTATGTCTGGATCTAGTTGCTCCGTTATCACAGTTCCCAAATATGTCATTTTGTGAACTTTCTCAACTTGGACTCCGTTTAATTGAAGCTTTGAATCGGGATGTGGGTCACGACTAAACACTAAAAATTTGGTTTTGTTTGAGTTTATTTTAATGCCCATTTCCTCTCCTACCTCGTGAATACGATCAAGCAGAATCTGAAGACCTTCAATATTATCTAATAGATGTACCGTATAGTCTGCATATCTAATCACATTAAGTAGTTCCCCGTTGATTTTTATTCCATATGGTTGTCTCTCAAGTGCCTTTTTAAATAACTGGTCCGAGTAAACATTGAACAATGTTGGCGACAAAATGCAACCTTGTCTGACTCCTCGTTGTATAGAGATTTCATCGGTGTAGTTATCTCCAATTTTTACGATAGCAGTTTGATTCCAGTACAAATTTTTAATGACACGAATATCCTTGTCATCTATTCCGATATTTTTCAGTATTTGCATTAATTTTACATGCTGTACTTTATCAAATGCCTTTTCGAAGTCCACGAAACATGCAAATACATCTTATCTTTGGTCACGGCATTTTTGTAATAGGATGTTTAGCGCAAAAAGTGCCTCCCTGGTTCCCATAGCATTTCTAAAACCAAATTGGGTGTCTTCAAGATCTTCTTCGCATTTGCGTCTAATTCTGCTGTGAAGTATTCTGAGGAAAATTTTAAGAGTGTGCTCATTAGGCTAATAATCGATATTCTGAGCATTTTCTCGCATTGTGTTTTTTAGGTATTGCGACAAAGATGGATTTAAGCCAATCTGCGGGAATCACTCCGGTGTTATATATTGAATTAAAACAGTCTTACTACTACTTTTATGTTATCATTCTCTATTAGTTTCAGCAACTTAGTTGGTGTATCATCTGGACCACAAGCTTTTCTAATTTTAGCATTATTTATAGCGTGTTCTACCTCGCATTTCATAATTTCTGGGACGTCAGTACAGTTTTGGTAGAATTCGGCAATACTATTCCTGTCATCTTCAAACAACTCTGATATATACAGCTGCCATTCTTTTCTTATTTCGTGATCATTTACAATAATTTTGTTATTATTGTCAACGAGTACAGAGGGAACTCGTTTTTTTAAATATGTTACTCATTTCTTTTAGTTTTTTGTGCACATTAAATAAGTCGTGTTTAGATATTACATCCTCCATTTTTCTTTGGCTAATTTGATCTCCTTTTTTATTATTCTCTGCATGTGTCTATATTCTGTTACATTAGATTTTATCAGTCGACGTTGTTTCATTAATTTCAAGATGTCGTCTGTCATCCATTTATTTTTCTTGATTAAGTTTTTTCTATAATCATTGTTTGTGGAGATTTCGTTAACTTGGTTTTTAAATTCACTCCATAGTTCTTCTGGATCTTCTAGTTGTTCTCCGATGTTTTTTATTCTATTGTTAAATTCTTTTTAATGTTATGTTTTATGTTTATATCGTCAAAGTTAAGTACATTGGTTTTTGGTTTTTGTCGCTGAATTCGTTTTAACCTTAGTTTAATATCTGCTACAAGTGGTTGATGATCAGATCCAATAGCTGCCCAGGATATGTAGTGACTTTTTTGAGGGCATTTGGAAACGCTCATTTACAAGTATATAGTCTATTTGATTTCTTGAAGACTCAGGGTTATTGCCATCATCAAATGGGACTTTCCAAGTGTATAGTCGTCGCTTGGGTAGTTTATACCAGGTGTTTGCAATGATCATATCGTTTTCTTTACAAAATTCATACAATCTCTGTCCTCGATCGTTAGGTTGTCCTAAACCATAAGGACCTACAGTCTGACCTCGTCGACCTTCCCCAATTTTTGCATTGAAGTCGCCTATAATATATAAAATTTCGTGTTTATTAAGTTTCTGTAAGATGTCTTGGATCTGATCATACAACTTCTCGACTTCATCGTCATATTTTCTATCTGCAGTCGGGGCATAGATTTGAAGTATGTTAGTTTTAAATGGTTGAGTATTTATTTGGAGTAATATTATTCTATCCGAGACTGGTACAAAATTGGTCACATATTTACTCAGTTCTGATGTTACTAATATACCTACACCATTTTTGTGATGCGGGTCTTCTGTGCTGTTACAGGAATAATATAATACACTTCCGTCCTTTTTACATGATCCTGACTCTGGCCATCTCATTTCGCTGATTCCCAGTAGGTCTATTTTCATTCTTTTCATTTCTTGAATTGCGTTGTCAAGTTTCCCAGCCGCAAATAGACTTCTAACATTCCACGTGCACATTCTAAAATTAGATTTCTTCATTTTTCGGATTTCTTCACGAGGTTTTCGCATGTTTACGACCTGAGAGGCCTCGTAGTATAAATATGTTTCTCCTCTCCTGCCGAATCTTGGCCTCCGCTTTCCATGATTAGTAGCGGTTTGCAATTGCAGCGTCAATTCTATGGTGATTTCTGGGGGTGCTCTATGAGACCGTTAATGCAGTGGTTCTCCTTTGCTTCTGCATTCTTATGCCGTTGACCATTATTTGTTGATTCATCCGCCTATGGGCCGATTTCTCAACCCCAGGACAAAAGAATGCCCTACCACTCACCAACTCATCCGCCCTAAGCCGTTCGTCAGTAAGTGGGGGATTGCTTATACCGGCAATCACTCGGACGCAGGCTTATTTTTTATCTAGCAGGATGCACCGGATGACCATAATCAAGATCATCACGCGGGCAGGTGAGGTTGACATTTGGATAGGAGAGGCTATACGTTGTGCAATACTATCCCTTATATCCCTTATCATCCTTTCCGGACAACGAATCTGATTACTAGTTATTTTTCTTCAAGTGCCATCTCCGCGACGAAGGTTGGCAATCATCATGGCTATTCTGACCTTCGAGGCAGCTGCTCTGAACAATTGCCTTGAGCTGCAACCAAACCACTCTCTCAGGTTCTTCAACCAGGAAACGCGTCTTCTTCCTACGCTTCTCCTACCCTCTATTTTTCCTTGAATTATGAGTCTCAAGATGTTGTATCTTTCGCCTCTCATCACATGTCCGAGATATTGCAATTTCCTTTCTTTTATTGTATTTTCCATTTCCCTCTCTCTGCCTATTCTCCTTAACACTTCTGTATTCGTGACTCTATCTACCCATGGAATCCTTAACAATCTTCTAAATGTCCACATTTCAAACGCGTTAAGTCGATTTATTGTATTCCGGTTTAATGTCCATGATTCAGCTCCATAGTAGAGTACACTGTGTACATAGCATTTAATTAGCCTTATTCTGAGGGCCAATGTCAGATCTTTGCTGCATAAAATCTTTTTCATTTTCACGAAGTTGGCACGTGCTTTTTCAATTCTGACTCTTATTTCTGCAGTATAATCGTTATTTTCTGTGATTATCGTTCCCAAGTAAGTATATCTTTTTACTCTCTCAATCTGCTGGCCGCCTACCGTTAATATTTCGTTTGTATTGTTGTTCTTGCTAATTTTCATGAATTTGGTTTTTTTATGTT